TAGACCAGGTTTGATTTGGTCTATGGTGCAGTCTATTTTCAGTTCCTCAAAATATCAACGTGCCAACAATGCGCCTGAACACACCTCTTTTTTAGATCAGCACGCCCATGGGCACAAATGCATTTGCTATTTAAACAACGCGGCGCAGGATGGGAAAATGAGAACTGAAACACTTGCGCTGCGCCTTGCGCCACATTGCGCCGGGTGTATGATAGGGTCCCAAGCTTTTGAAATTCAATCTACAACACCTGTGCTTTGTGCTGTTATTTACACAGAGAGCTAATAAGGACTATATCTCAAAACTGGCTGCTTTTTTAGCGAACATTGTTCTAAAATATGATAAAATATTAGTGATGGGGGATTTTAATATCCATGTGTGTTGTCCGACTAACCCCTTAGCAAAATATTTTTTAAATCTCATTGATTCTTTTGGTTTCCAGCAAATGGTGAATGGTACACATACTCATGGGCACACTCTGGACTTGGTTCTGTCACTTAGCTGTCAGGGACATTATCATTGAGGATTTTATAGTATCTGATCCCAATCCGATTTTATGTACTGTTTCTCTTCCTTGCCAGCCAAGTAAATTTTGCCCGACTAAAAGAAGGCTTCGTCCCCTAACACCTAGTACACATGTGGAGCTTAATGCGCCTTTTATGGAGACGTTGCAGTGTGTGAAAGTGGACCTCTTATCTCCACATCTTAGTGTGGAGGAAGCTGTTAATATTTATAATTCTGTATGCGCTGAAACATTAGACGGTGTTGCACCTGTGAGGCAGGTGTGTAGAAAACGCAAGTCTGCCCCATGGTACAATGAACATATTAAATCTTTGAGAAGACAGTGTAGAAGATGTGAATGCAAATGAAAGAAAGACAAGTTACAAATTTCCTATGAAATGTTGCGAGACTCCTTAGGCAAATTTCAATGGGCTGTGAAAATGGCCAGGTCTAGATACTTTTCAGATGTTATTGAGAATAATCGTCAAAATCCGAAAGCCCTTTTCTCAACGATTGATTCATTCTTGAATCCTAGATTGGAGGTACCCGGAGATATGCCTATGGGTTTATGTGAAAGTCTTTTAGATATTTTTTTTGTTGGGCGTATATCAGACATCCGACAGAATATACAACAGTGTTCATATATGCCTATGGATATACCTGTAACTCATGCTGTGTTGTCTGATTTTGAGCCCATTTCTTTATCCATGCTTTTAGATATTGTACTCAAGCCGACATTCTCTCCTCAAGATATTGTTCCAACAAAGCTACTAAAGCAAGTTATTGAGTTGATTGGTCCATTTGTATTATCAATAATTAATAAGAGTTTACTTTCTGGAATTGTTCCAACTTATTGTAAACATGCCATAGTGCAGCCTTTATTGAAGAAATCAAACCTGGATAAGAGTGTTGTGCAATTATAGACCAGTTTCAAAGCTTCCTTTTTTAGCAAAGATTTTGGAGAAAACTGCTTTTAATCAACTTGAGTCCCTCCTTACTGATAATGCTATCGGTGAAATCTTTCAGTCGGGGTTTAAAAAACAACATAGTACAGAATCTGCATTATTAAGAGTTTTTAATGACATTTTCATGGCAACTGACTCTGGTGATTTGACTCTAATTTTGCATTTAGATCTTAAAGCGGCTTTTGATAAAATCAATCATCAGATTCTGATCTCACGTTTAGAAACCTGTGTAGGTATTCGAGGTAATGCCTTGAATTGGATTAAGTCTTATCTTCAAAACAGAAGTTTCTCTGTTCAGATGGGAGAATGTATGTCGACCTCAGTGCCTTTATTTTGTGGTATTCCACAAGGTTCTGTTTTAGCACTAGTCTTTTTTTTTACTGTATATGCTCCCGTTAGGTCAGATCTTGAGTAAATATTTCTTAAAGATCATGTGACACTGAAGTCTGGAGTAAAATTCAGTTTTGCCATCACAGGAATTAAAAACATGTTTAAATATATTTAGAATAACTATTTTGTAATAATATTTTACAATTTTCTGTTTTTATTGTGTTTTTCATCAATAAATCCAGGTCTAGATATTTTTCAGATGTTACTGAGAATAATCGTCAAAATCCAAAAGTCCTTTTCTCAACAATTGATTCATTCTTGAATCCAAGATTGGAGGTGCCCAGAGATATTCCTATGGGTTTATGTGAAAGTCTTTTAGATTTTTTTGTTGGGCGTATATCAGACATCCGAAAGAATATACAACAGTGTTCATATATGCCTATGGATATACCTGTAACTCATGCTGTGTTGACTGATTTTGAGCCCATTTCTTTATCCATGCTGAAGTCGACATTTTCTCCTCAAGATATTGTTCCAACAAAGCTACTAAAGCAAGTTATTGAGTTGATTGGTCCATTTGTATTATCAATTAATAAGAGTTTGCTTTCTGGAATTGTTCCATCTTATTGTAAACATGCCATAGTGCAGCCCTTATTGAAGAAATCAAACATATGCTCCCGTTAGGTCAGATCTTGAGTAAATATGGTGTGTCATTTCACTGTTATGCAGACGACACCCAGTTGTATCTACCTCTGAAGCCAACTGTCTCTATTGTTGTAGAAAGACTGGTGGAAAGTGTTGGCGAGATTAAGATGTGGATGTCTGCAAATTTGCTATGTTTAAATGAATCAAAAACCGAATTGATTCTATTTGGCCCTTCTGAGTCTGTTGACACATCCAAAATTGAGTTGAGTATACTATCCCCTTTTCGGACACATCAAGTAAAAAACTTAGATATAGTTTGTGATAGTGCACTGAAAATTGATAAACAAATAAATGAAGTGGTCAGAATTAGTTTTTTTCAGTTGAGACTAATTTCTAAAATTAAGACATTTTTATCTCGGAAGGACCTGGAAAAGGTTATCCATGCTTTTATTTTCTCAAGATTAGACTACTGTAACTCACTGTATTATGGTGTCCAACACAAAAGTTTGGACAGACTACAGCTGGTTCAAAATGCGGCCGCAAGACTCTTTACAGGCACTTGGAAAAATGAGCATATCACTCCTATATTAAGAGAACCACACTGGCTGCCGGTTTCTTATAGGATTGACTTTAAGATATTATTATTTGTTTTTAAAGCCTTACATGGTACAGCTCCATCATATATAGCTGATCTGATCCAGTTGAAGAAACCAAAGAGAACGTTACGTTCTGAATCATTGAATCTCTTAGTGGTTCCGCGGACATACCGGAAAACGAGAGGAGACCGCTTCTTTGCGGCCACTGCTCCTAGGTTGTGGAATGGTTTACCTCATTATATCCAGCAGTGCTCCACTCTTAGAGAGTTTAAACGACATCTAAAATCTTATTTTTTTACTGTGGCGTTTGAGCATACATGAGTGCTATGTTAGGGGTGAAACAGGTTTTTACCAATTGCCTGAGGTTTTATTTATGTTTGTGTGATGTTATTATATAGAATTTTAAAGTGATTCTATTATTATTCTGCATTGTCTCATGTACAGCACTGTGGTCAACATTTGTTGTATTAGTATGTGCTTTATAAATAAAGTGAACATTGAACATTGAACATTTTGACAATCTCATTTACAATAAAAAGAAAAATGACACTTCCTACTAGTGAAGAAAAGAAAAGTAAAAGAAGATAAGTATTTTGATTCTGTAAATTGTCTCCAAAGGAATTATTTGCACATAAGTCATTCACTAGCATGCATGAAACAAAAATTTGGTTTCAATTATTTACTGCTTATATTGTTGCATTGCAGTGATTTCTGGACATAAGGGCCATGAGTGCATTTACATGAACGATCTAAGACCAGGTGTGTCTAACAACCCGACTGCTTAAACAGGGATGAAAACCATCCATTTGTTGGAGGGCATAAAACAGACTTTCCTGTGTTTTACGTGCTTATGTTAGCATGCTTTTAAAATGAGCATAAACTTAAAATTTAATTTAATAATTGCTGGATTATTGAATAACTGGATAATTGCAAAGTTCATGAAATCATGTCTTAAATAATAAAAGATTAAAAAAAAAGTCTAGGCTTGATTGCTACTTTGCCGACATATTCATTTTTTTGTGTCTCTGAAATGTTATTTACATATTGCATTTATATGCATGAAACTGACATCAGTAAACACATTTTCCACTCATTTATAACACAACTTACTCCTTCTAAAAACTGAAGTTATTATATGCTCGCAATCCCAGCTGGGCCAGTTTTTATTTATTTATTTATTTTTGTAAAATAGCAATACATTACATTTACTGTGGAACTATTATGAAATGTTTTTTATTATAGACAAGAACACCCGGGTCTAAATAATCTGTATTCATATGGCAAAGGGTGGCTAAAAGACAAAACTGCAAGGGGTACAAACAAATATGTCACAAAAAACAGCTTTCAGTTCAGCTTAGCTCATGTTAGCTACATTTTGGTGTTGCTCAGTAGGCTATACTGTGTAGCACGATAGAAAGCAAAGCAGCGGGTGCGCTGGCTGTAACAAAGGCTATTCGTCCAATTCAATGCATATTGTACGCATTATTATTTTTTTGTTAAATAAACAAAATCACTGGTAAATAAAACACACCTTAGTATCGATATTTTTTGAGTATCGATACGTTCGATACTCGCGTCAGTATCGATATATCGATACTTCGGATCGATACGTCCATCCCTAGTACTGAATCCATTCTTTGCAGGTCGTAGTGAAAACACATTCGCCTGGACTGGATCGTGGATTGTGGATTGAAGCAGTGATTGGAGGATATGTTGGGAATGAGAACTGGAGGAGGCTGGGAAACAAACGGAGTGTTAAGACTAGAGGCCGCCGTGTTCATATACGCATCGATATCACAAAATGATCGAATAAACGGCGCTTTTGGCGGATTGCAATGCACACTTGGCGTGCAGGGAAGCCTATATTTTCCGCAGATCTTTACTAAAGACAAACCGCATCAAACAAGTCCAGCATGCGGCATTTTTACGCGCTGATCTTGCATATGAAATGAACACGAACGAGTCCTGAGACTGACATATCTGGTATATCTCCTCTCGGTGATTCTGACTGGATTTGTGAAGACGTTTGACATTAAAGGAGTTAGTTCTTCATTCATGCACATATCGCACGGATACTGAAGATCATCTGTTTGTCGGTCATTTCGGGTTTATTTTAGTGACGATAAAGGACTCGTTCAGTCACAAGTGATTCAACATCAGGTGAGACGGCATGCGTTGAAATAACAGTCCTACAATTTGCAACCAAAATCACCTTTAAATCACATGAATGGTTGTCTTCGTGCCGTTATGGCCCTTGTGGACGCATCTTTTAAAAAAACCTCTTAAAACACTTCTCACACTCTCATTAGTTTGTTGAACATTGTTAGCGAGTGAATTAAATAAAGGACAAAGCCTACTTGCGTCATTTCCCCTGTACCGTTATGAGCAAATATCTTTACCACCACATCTCAAATTACCATTCAGTGAGGGAAATACATTTTAAACGTTTTTGTAAGAAATGGCCGACTCTTTTATCTTGTTACAGCTAAGTCCACTGTCATACCTGCGACATTTTAATTTGTGTATTGTTTTCACACAGTAAATATTGAAATAGTTTATAAACACTGTGAGTTCAACAGTAAACGACGATTGTGTGGAAATCGGTTATAAAAAAATATTGGTCTAAGTCATTACATAAAAGTCACGAGACAAACAACAACAAAAATGAAAATGTTTAAAGTGTTTTAGTGCGACCTTATATGTATAAAGAGATAAAGTTAAACCCATCTCAACATTTCTTCTATTTTTTATGCTAATAATACTACAGGTTTACTGCATTAACAATATTCGTGGTATTTTGAGTAATTGTGATTACTTTGTAGTTTCAGACTTTGTTGGTATCATAGTTCGGTAACACTCTAAAGTGTTACCCATAGTTCTTGAAATGGTAATCAAAATCAGTCACCTGAAATAGTGTTTGTTTCCTTAAGCTATTGGAGGGCTATTCATACAATAATATTTACATTGATTTATCATAGTTTAATTATCCACAGTCTGATATTGTCACTGTAAATGTTTTGTTTGGAGTCAGGGGCTCTTCAAACTGTCAACTCTGCTTTGTTTTTGATTTTGATTTTTTTTTTTAATGCTTGCTTTACTGATTGAGTATATACATATTTGTACTAGTGTTTTAAGATGTTTCTTATTATATTATATACAATTTTACAAGATTGAATTTGGAGATGGAAATCTACTTATTTGCATGTTTGATTGGTAGCAAGATCTACAGTGTTTAACTATTAGGCACAAAGATTTTCAATTTAAAATGCATAGCAGACTTTGTATATTTTTTTAAGCACTGTTTTTTTTTTTTAAATAAAGGTTAATAATAGTTAAAGTTAAAACAAGAGTGAACATTCATCACAGTTTTCTGTTAAAACAGCTCAGTAGTGTTATGAATGTAGTCAGGGCTGTGCACAGACCTTTTGAGGGGCATGTGCTGAAACTGAAAAAGGGCACCCCCCCACCCCCCCTTAATGACAAATGAAATAACACAAAATAATAGTCTCAAAAGCTTTAGATTTATTCACTATTAATAACAACCATAATATATACAGTGGTGTGAAAAAGTGTTGGCCCCCTTCCTGATTTCTTATTTTTTTGCATGTTTGTCACACTTTAATGTTTCAGATCATCAAACAAATTTAAATATTAGTAAAAGATAACACAAGTGAACACAACATGCAGTTTTTAAATGAAGGTTTTTAATTATTAAGGGAAAACAAAATCCAAAACTACATGGCCCTGTGTGAAAAAGTGTTTGCTCCCTAAACCTAATAACCGGTTGGACCACCCTTAGCAGCAACAACTGCAATCAAGCGTTTGCAATAACTTGCAATGAGTCTGTTACAGCGCTGTGGAGGAATTTTGGTCCACTCATCTATGCAGAATTGTTGTAATTCAGCCACATTGGAGGGTTTTCGAGCATGAACCGCCTTTTTAAGGTCATGCCACAGCATCTCAATAGGATTCAGGTCAGGACTTTGACTAGGCCACTCCAAAGTCTTCATTTTGTTTTTCTTCAGCCATTCAGAGGTGGACTTGCTGGTGTATTTTTTTTGTTTAGTTTTTTTGTTTTGTTTTTGTTTTGACGTGACATGTGGCCAAGTATGGTGACCCATACTTGGAATTAGTGCTCTGCATTTAACCCATCCAAAGTGCACA